GCAGTTCCCCGCAGCACGCGGACTGCAGAGGTCCGGACGAGAAGAAGGAGTTGGAGATCGCGGCCAAGGCCAGTCCAGACAGCGCGCCGGGAGCCGGGGGTAACCGGCCAGGCGCCGGCAGCGCGGAGCCCGGAGCGCACAGCGAGGCGGCTTCGGGGCGCAAGGCCGAACCACCGGGCTCGGCGTCCGCGGGCCACGTGGCTCCGGTGTCTCCCTACAAGCCGGGACATTCGGTGTTCCCTTTGCCCCCTTCCAGCATCGGCTACCACGGGTCCATCGTGGGGGCCTACGCGGGTTATCCTTCCCAGTTCGTGCCCAGCTTGGATCCTACCAAGCCCAGCCTGGTGAGCAGCAGCCAATTGCCGGGGGCCTTGGGGCTCCCGGGCAAGCCCCCCAGCTCCAGCCCACTGACGGGGGCCTCCCCCCCTTCCTTCATGCAGGGATTATGCCGAGACCCCTATTGCCTGAGCTACCACACCGCCTCCCACTTGGGCACCAGCAACTGCTCCAGCTGCGTCCACGACCCCAGCAGCCTGAAAAGCGGATATCCCTTGGTGTATCCCACCCACCCGCTCCACAGCGCCCTGTCCTCCAGCGCCACGCCCAGCCTGCCCAGCCATTCGCTCTACACCTACGGCTTCATGCTCCAGAACGACGCCCTGCCCCACATATGCAACTGGGTGTCTGCTGGCGGACCCTGTGACAAGAGATTTGCCACCTCCGAGGAACTGCTGGCCCACTTAAGGACCCACACGACTCTGCCTGGGGCAGAAAAACTTTTGGCTGGTTATCCTACCTCGGGGCTGGGCTCTGCTGCGTCCTGCCACCTCCACCTCCCGCCAGCTGCCCCGGGGAGCCCCAGCTCCTTACCCGGATCTCTGTCGTTGAGAAGCCCGCAAACTTTGGGACTAAACCGCTATCACCCCTATGGCAAAAGCCACTTGCCCACGGCTGGGAGCTTGCCGGTCCCTTCCTTGCCTGCAGCTGGACCCTACTACTCCCCCTATGCCCTTTATGGCCAAAGACTCACCTCAGCCTCTGCACTTGGATATCAGTAACTCCAGCAGCCCTGCCCTGGCCTGGCCTCGCCTCCTTGCGTCCTTGCCTCCCTCTGGACTGTGTATTTATTTACTGTATGTTAGCTTAAAGCTGGGAAAATAAGTGCATTAATACACCAATGAATCAATGGTATGCAAAACGTCTGTGTCCCCCCCCCATTCAAAATCTGACCCACTCTTTTATTTTTTAAGCAACCTGTTTCGTAGATGTGGGGGGAAGCTTATGGTGTTTTCTTTTATCCCCTTTAATCTTATTTTTTAAAGGAAAACTTTTCCCCTGGTCCCCGTGAACGCTTTGCATGATTTTCAACAAGATGCTTTTCTTCCTTCTCCCTGCTTTTTCTTCCTTTTTTTTTTTTTTTTTTTTGTTTTTTTTTTTTTTTTTTTTTGTTTTTTTTTTTTTTTTTTTT